CTAATGTCTCATTTGGATGCACGTAATAGCATCTGAATGCAATCTAATTTCGGGCTGGGGGGTCTCACTAAAAGCTGAGCTCTAGTCAAAGTTGCCTGGTCTCAAAAGGAGACACTGAGATGACATTAATGTGCAAAAATTGTTTACTTTTATTATTCATAATTAAACCTCTTTCTGTATCCTGACCCTTATATCTCAAACAGAGGATACATGGGCTGTATCCTGGGCAATACAGTAGTTGTCAATGGATAATGCAATGTTAGCTGCACAGAATAAATACCCTTCTCTCACGCACACACAGTCCTTCCAAGTCAGTGTCTTTCTCTTTCTGCTTGTGCCTCTCTCTGTGCCTGGTATTCCATCTCCCTACTTCAGGGCAGTAATGAGTGTCTGGTATTCTGCACTTCAGCATTGAAGCCCTATTCATGCTCGATCTCCTTTACAATGCACTAAAAGGATTACCCAATTAGCTGCTATTGGATGTCATCGTGTGTGTGTGTGTGTGTGTGTGTGTGTGTGCGTGTGCGTGTGTGTGTGTGTGTGTGTGCCTGTGTGCTTGGTCAGTAGATAGATGTGTTAGCAGTGAAAGTGAAAGATAGATGACCGTCTCTGTTCCACACTTCATTCCCAGTTGATGTTCTGCTGGAGGCCACATTACTCATCCCCACAACTCAGTCTTGTGAGAAAGACACAAGATAGAGAAAGTGCGTGTGTGTGTGTGTGTGTGAGAGAGAGAGAGAGAGAGAGAGAGAGAGAGAGAGAGAGAGAGAAAGAGAGAGAGAGAGAGAGACGAGAGACTGAGGCCTTGACAGCCTTCAGAGAATGACAGAGAAAGAGTATTACTTTTCAATAATTCAACCTATGCACCGATTAGTCTCTGTGAAATACTCAGCTGTCATATGTAAACTGTGTCTTCTTCTCTTCGCACCGTAATTGGTGATTTTAATTTTCACTGTCATGTTGGGATAATAGGAATGTCCATTTCATTGTCTGTGAACCATTATTTACTTAGTGTGAGCCAAAGATTGATTCCAGTTATCTAATGCGTTACATCACACTGTGAGCAGCGCATTCATCATTTTGCATTCAGAGGATCGAACCGTAGGCTATAAAGATTCATTTAGACTGACGTGGCTGGAAGCAATAAAAGTGCAATCCACATTTTACAGGTAAAAGTTGGGACACACTAATGCCTTTAGCATAATTCATTTATCATTTTACAGCTCCTCATGGGGAAACTTACAGTAAGCTCAGTGACATATACTGACTGTAAAATCACAGTCTGGTTTAATATACACTGATAAGCAGGCATGCATGCTGTGTAACAAATGAGTTTTTGCTAAAATAGTATGCGTTTGCATGCATCTCCATTTTTTTAATCAAAAGTTAAGATTAAAAATTATATGAATACAAATTTGAGCATAATAACTGGCACGATACCACTTTTTAATGTCCGATACCGATTCCAATATCATAAATTTGGATATCTGCCGATACCGATATGAATCCGATACAGTGTATTTTGTAATCAATAAAACTTATTTTTATAAATATCTTGCTGTATTTTGTATAAGTTCATACTCAAGTTTAAAAAAACAAGACACTGAAGCTATTCTGCTATACCTGTATGCAAAAAATACACTCCACCCAAAACATTTTATAGTTCAGCAACACTGATCAATTTAATAAATTTAAACCTACACCATCCTCCCTATTCTGGTATTTTAAAGAGTACTTAGTGGAAATATTAAGCAACCTAACTAATAGGGTTGCCAACTCCCAGCAAAAATTAGGGAACCACCCCCGCCCTTAATTGATGTAATCAACTTTAATTTAATGCAAGTGTAAAACAAATGCACAGAAATCAATTATTTTTCTACAATATATAAATAGATTCAACATCTTTCTTCAACAGAATTGCAGACTGCACAGATGGTACCTTCCCAAAGGAAAAAGTACTATAGCTTACTAGGGTGTATATTAGACTTATTAGTTGCTATATACAATAATGGATTTCTATACATTTAATCAGGTGACCACTTTTGTTGTAAGATTCAGATAATTATTTATTCAAAGTTTTTAAATGACATAATAAAGAAAAATATTTCTTTGTGTCCCCCTTTTCCTGTTAATGCCCTACCCTGGTAAAACTTTGCTAGAGCCGCCCCTGCACAGTTACCAGCCGTCAGCTACGTAGAAAAGGATCCTGGTGTTATTTGTCTCACAACTTCCCTTCAACTCATTCATGTCACCTAAAGGTAAACCTGTTTCTCCATCACCTGCTCAGCTCTGATGATTCAGTAAGGACATCTCCTGGTTTCATCTTCATGTTTCCCTCTCACCACCAGAGATGGGCAGTAACGCGTTACTTGTTACTTGTAACGCGTTACTGTAATCTGATTACTTTTTTCAAGTAACGAGTAAAGTAAGGGATTACTATTGCAAAAACGGTAATTAGATTACCGTTACTTTCCCGTAGGAACGCTGCGTTACTAAAACCGTGATTTTTTTGCGAGAATGTCTCACGACAGTGACGTAAGCGAGTGCGCCGTTAGTGACAACAGCTGTGTGCAGATCAACAATGGATCACATATCGATTGTGGGAGAGAGTATGAGCGTGCAGCGTTTAAAGCGTGGAAGTACTGACCTTACTTTGAGTTTGATTCCATAAAAAGTGACAAAAACATTAGCTCCATCGTGCGTGGGAAGAAAACTTCTTTTTACAGCGAAAAAAACCCTAAACTTCCAAGCAAGCACCGAGTGCGCTATGACGTAATGGGAAATTCACAGAGAAACTCGCGGATTCTTCATACTGACCGCGGCACACCTGCACCAGGGTAAACCTCCGCCTACCGCAGTCCTGCTTTACAGGTGAAAATAGAGCAACAGGACCGCTGAGTCTTTGACTTTATTTATTTTCTGCTGTGTTTTACTTGCATCTATTTGAAAGACTGAGTGTAAACACAAAAAATATTTTATTTTATGTGCTGGAATGTGTAGAAAATAGGTTTAAATGTTAAACTAATTTATTCAAGTCAGAGAATGTTGCATATAATTAAATTTTTGCTTGATGCATAAAGTTAAAAGATTAAAACTGATAAAACAAGTTAAAAAAAGAGACTTTTCCATTTGATTACATTTTGTATGATGGATTATGCAGAAAAAGTAGAATTGGGCTGAAAGATCTATCGCTTTATCACCTATTCAGGTTGTAAATCGTGTTTTTAAAAAGTAACTAAGTAATTAATTACTTTTGAAAATAAGTAATCAGTAAAGTAACGGGATTACTTTTTGGGGGAAGTAATCAGTAATTAGTTACTGATTACTTTTTTCAAGTAACTTGACCAACACTGCTCACCACATATCTAAACGGATATCATGACCAGCAAACATCAGCTGATACTAGAAAGTAATATTAAATAAATATTAACAACAGCTTTTCACCCTTTAACGCGCTGCTGTTGTTTATCCGCTGGTGTCCTCTTTCTAGCGCAAAGTGGGCGATAAACAAACAAGAAAGACGAAACTTGTGGCAGAAAAGCTGATCAGCTGATCATTGATCAGTTTCATGTTTGAAGTAATAACAGGAGAGGGAGGGGGAGTGAATGAAAGAATGCAACTGAGCAGCAAAGACGGAATAACTCCAGCTTTGTGTCTATTTTTTAATTCTAGCTGAAGTACGGGACAAATCGCTTCCTTTTCACCTCAATATGGAACTCCTATGGTCAGTCCAGCTGTGGCTCAACATATCAGTTGTTAAGCTTAACGTGGAAATACTATGCAAACATTCAAGGATGAACTTACACACTTGCTTTACTTATCTGGGATAGTTTTCACCGAGATGAAATGCTGTGGTTAGGAAGCATGTAGCGAGGCTCCAAATGCTCCAACAGACCGCCAACAGCTGCTCTATCACGTGACACATACTGCTCCGATGCGCCAAGCTGGGTTACGCCAAGTTTTGTGAGTTTTGTGAGGTGATTTTGTGATACTTCAGATCGGACTACATATTTCTCTCCGATATCCGATCCAGTAATTTAGGTCAGTATCGGACCTATACCGATACGTAATATCGGTATCTTTACTGGTAGAGAACAACAACTGCAGATTTTGTACATTATTTAGTAATAATTTATATTCTGTGTAAATTGTTGTATAAATCTTCTGTTGTTCTTGATACTCTGTATGGTGTCCTTACATGTCTCCAAAAAAGTAGTGATGTAACATGAATAGAATAGAAATGCTGTATTTCAAACTGTAGCCTTTGTTCAGATGAGGGGTTTAAGATATTGTTTAGCATTGCATTCTGGGAAGTATTTTTGAATTGATAGTCATACAAATGACCAAATATCAAAATATCTCACCCTTTGACCACTTCATGTTTAATTCAATCATTAAAAAAAACCCACCTGTAATTTAGGTAAGATAATACTTGTTTTGTTCAAATGTTCAAGTTAATTAAAGTTAGCTTAACTTACATTAAAAGCCTCAAACAACAAAAACCTAAATGAATTTTAGCCTTACGCAAAGCAAAACAGTAGTTAGAACTAGTAGCTTAAAATTTACTTTAAGTACGCTGGCCTCTGAAATGTAAGGAAAACAAATGAGATTGATGATGTTGAATGCACAAGAGAACAAAGAAATAAGCTGCCCAAGAATGACCTAAAAAACATATAGTGAACCGGAGAGATTAGCCATGCATCTGTTAGAAATTACCATAAAAAGAGTGAGAATTAAAAAGATGCCATCTGGCACAGTGGCAGTGTAGAGGTACAGTGAGAACAGAGGAGAGTTTCATGGTCATTGTGAGACAGGTATAAATCCTGGATGTTTATAACACACTTACTGCTGCCTGCCATTGGCTGGGCTAATGGATTGGCTATGCTCTGTGAATGTGTGTGTGTGTGTATGTATGTGTGAGTGTGTTTTCGGGTGGAGGAGTGGGGGGTGGGGAATAGGGGTGTGTAGTGTCAGCTGGTCCTGTGCGGGGTAGGGCTTTGTGTCAAGCAGGTCAGCTGGGGTTAGATGACACAGCGCCCACGCTCACACACACACACACATCATCCCCTGCCTGCACACAGAGACACACACAATAAGCGAGTGCAGAACACTCTTTTGTGCAGACACTGAAAAACATGCAGGCAGTCAGATATGTGATTAGATATCTGCATGCATCCACACACACTCACTCTCCCCAGTCCCAACACACCAGAGGTCTTAAATCACGCTTTCCCCTCAAAGGCTGTGGAATCAACTGTTTACATTGCTTATTAAATTTTTCAAATGAAGGGGCAATGAAAAGATTTTCAAATTGCTATATTTGCGTCAAACAGACGTGAAATTGATCAGTTCTGAGTACCATGTCAGTAGTAACAAAAGTAAAATGTCAGGATCATTGTTCAGAAAGCAGGCTTCAGGGTCTGAACACGACTAACTGAGGAACAATGGCAGCCAGCTGAAAGCATGAGTGAATAGCCTCGCTGAAATAAATTATGGCACATCAACAGAAATATTGTATATTATTACATAAAGAGCAAAAAGACTGTGAAAACACTTTATGGTGAAAGGTTTCAGACAGTATGATGCAATATGACTCACTTTTCTGCAATTCTGTCTGCACATCCAGAGCCCATAGTATAGAGCTTTGCTTCTTTGCGCAGCATGCTATTAGTTCAATTTTAAACAAGTGATTTTTGTCACATTGATTTTTGTTTCACATTATCAGTATCAGTAAATCTGCTGTGTTCTGTCTAGATGCATGGCAAAGCACTCTGCTTCCTCACATTAACACAAAGTATATGTTTACTTGTGACAAAAATGGGTTGTAAGATTTAAACTTGTTTTGTCAGTTGCAGAGAAAGGCCATATCTTCTCCCTTGTTGTTGTTTTTTGTTATGTGGATCACAGTGCCTAGTATATTTTCCTGTTGCCGGGCTTGATTGTATTTCATCCACAAGGGTTTTTGTCAACAGTCTGGGCTCTGTGGGATGCTGAATGCTTTACTGCCTTAGAGAGAGCTGGACTCCAGCAATGACACTGTGAGAGTGTGTGCAATTTGTGTTGACACGCAAAGTTGTGTGTGAAAGAGTGGGTCTGTGGGTGTATGCCTGAACAAACAGCATAAAGGCAGAATGGTGGTAAATCGCTCTAAAACCGATGCTCTCCAGCGCTCTTATTTTGAGGACTAGTCATTTATTTAACAGTCAAATATGGTCCTGGGCTGTTTGGAGAGAATACATCAACTGGCACAGAAGAGTCCACACAAAGAAGGCACACTTCAACAGACAAAGAGCCAAAAGACAGAGGGCGAGCGCCTTTTTTTCTCCTTAAGATGAACTGTTGTTTATTCAGGGTGGGTGCAGGGCACCAAGTGGGACGGATGGATGAGGGAGGGACTGATGAAAAAAAAGGAGAGAGGGAAGGATGAATGGGCATAACCCAGTTAGTGGATGCACAAACGGGGTGTCTGCGGGTGATTGTGCAGAGTGGAGGGAGGTGCACTGTGAAGGGGGGGAGTGTAAAAGATCTTTTGTGAAGGCTGAGAGTTAATCACTTGAGCGGCACACGCCAGTTCTATGGAGCACATGTTGTACACTGGATCCCCTGAGAGGAGTGGGAGGTCCAACAACACACATACACACACTTGAATTTACATGTCAGTTATGATGCAAAGCCGGTTACAGGCTGAAAAGAAAAGCAGGAAGATCCACCCCCTTCACAAACAGTTAGCAGACCCTGGCCGTGGTGATAGTGTTTGCATTTGCTGCTTGTTCGTTCATACACACACACACATGCACACACCCGCGCGCACAGAGATGTACACATGTCTGCTTTTTTGTTTTCTTCGGGACTGGATAGATGACTCTGCAGCGGCCTTGCTAGAGATGGATGTTTAGTTTGACCTGGCAGTAAGTAAAATCTATTGTTCATTACATCAGTCCCATGTCAGCGGTAGATGCTAATATCTGAGAGTGATGGTGAAGGCTAGAGTTTAGATTTAGCAGCAGTCACTCAGGGACAATAAAACAGCAGCAGACACAGGCATGTCAGAGACTCTTTACTACAGTGGTGCACAGGACTGCCTCGCTTTAGACTCTTGCGAGTACGAATTTACCATCACTAGCCATTATTCAACATTTTCAGTACATGTTTAGTTTGTAGAATATACTTAGAATTTTATCCTGAACAAAACTGAGAATCAAAACTGAAGCAGTGCTGAAGATGTCTCTTATTATTAGTGGTCTTTGTGTATTTCTGGGTGTGCTTTCCTTTCTTGTATTCATCTAGACTGATCAAAAAATATTTCTTTTCTGCTAAAAGCCCAACAATACTTTTATTCTTCTGTATGAATGCCACTCTGTGTCAGTTGGTGTCTTGTTGATTTTAAAAACATTTTTTTAAATGTCTTAATTCCCTTACTTTTGTTTTAGGGTTGAATAAAAAGTCCCAGCCTTGATCAGCACTTCCTATGAGGCATCTCAGAAACAGTACAATGAGAGTTAGTTTCCTTACAAACACTGGAGGGCAACCATAAATTATGAATTAAACTCAAGCCAAATGCAATAGCTTAGATATATATAACTTATAGGAGGTCGTTAGTCACAGGCTTTGTTGCTGTGGCCATTATTAAATGCTTAAAAGCTCAGGACCATGTGGTTCTAGGAGCCCTTTATCTGCTGCCGAGGGGACTTTTCCCTTGTGGGTTAGAGAGCATGATAGTAACATCTGGGGTCTGGTTATCTTTGAAAGAAGAACTGCACAGTCACACTCATAACGTGTGACTGTGCAAATAAATGTCCTTGTAGACTGTAATTAAAAATATTAACTACATAAATTCACACAGGTTCTGTGCACTTAATCTTTATTTCATAATTTCTGCCGGTCTATCTGTAATATGTTCCAAAACAATAGCAAATAGAAAATGATATTCAGATGGCAGCCCCAGCCAATTGTTGAGAAGGCAGTAAGTAGTCTAATTGCCAGTTTGTTTAGAGGAAGGGCACCCAAAGGGTTATTTGTCAAATTTAACAGCTGAGTCATAAATCTAAACATACACAGCCAGGCAGAGTGCCAAGATAGACACTTTTTTTTTCACTTTGTTTGCTTTGCAAATTTAAACACCTGCTTCAACACTGCACAATAGACTGAACAACAATTAAACAACAGTGATACGCATCAAAAGTAAACTATGAGTTGAGTAAACTAAAATAAGGCTGTATCCTTTCCATGGAACAAAAATCTTCTGTTTAATGATACTGTGCATCCTTTATGTTTATCCTTTTCTTGTTTCACAGATGAAGCCACTGACAGAACCTCCGTGGGGTCACGAGATGTACCTTTCCCTTACTTCAGTGTAACCTCACCATTTAGACTTTAGCTGCATCTCGCCCGTGGGCTTGCCTACAGGACCATGGGTAGCGTCAGCAGTGTCCTCAATGACAACAGCCTCGGCAGCAAACACTGCAAGGCATCTCAGCACAGGTTAAAGGAGGGAACAAGCAGCCACAGAAAGAGTGGAGGTTGCAACCTTGACGGGTTACTGAAGTGCGGCTTCACTCAGGGCTCCTCATCCTCCACTCATCCCTCCAAAGGCCTCTCCCACTCAAGGTCTGGAAGAAGCGAAGATTTTTTTTATATTAAGGTGAGATGACATGTTTTGGGGGGTTTTGATGGCATGTGAGAATGAAAAAATTACAACATGCAACGGTGCTTTGGGGTAACAGATTTATTTTGTTTCACACAAGGTAAGCAATAAACCAAGGTCAACGCACCACAGAGAGAGATCAGCGGAGGGACAGGTAAACAGAAATGGGAAATCTGATGGGCAGATGCAACCAAAACTGCTGCTCATGTCTGGAAATGTGACTGAGAAGGTGAGCCTGGTGTTGTTGTTGTTGTTTTCTTCCTCCATGCTTAATCGTGTTATTCTTAGAATATAAGACAAGATTTAAAAGGTTAAGCACAAAAAAATTAACCGATTTATTCCAGCTGTTTCTCATTACAGCTGTTGCTAGGCAATCAGACGCCTACAAGTTAGTGCTCAAGGCTACAAAAACAACAAAAAAACTGTAAATAAAGTAGCAGGTATAGCCCATGTTTATGAAAGGTGGGGCTAATTTAGGGAAAGATGTCCCTTGGGCTTGCATTTTTCATATGGCCAGCAGGTGGCAAAAAGAACCTGATGTAGAATTTAGCTTACGGTAATTTATTACCTCTGTTAACCTTTTTCTAATAGATGTATGGTTTCCTTGACTAGCTTCATGTTATAGGTCTTGCATTGTTTATTATAAAGAATAAAGCAGAGCTTGGCTACTGTAATGATTGATTTTCAGTCAGATTCGACCATCTTTCCTCTTCGGCTCCATCCTCTAATCCAAGGTGATCAATATATCCAAGACGATGGTGCCCACAGGCTTCACAGCCACTGCCCACAATCCACTTAATTGAAATTACAGCAGCTATCTCATTCTTTTATACAGTTTATACATCAGACACAGTCAGGCTGGCAGCTCCCTCCAGCATGACGCTAACTGGTTGCTAGCTGAGTTCTTTTTCACAGTCAGGTGAAAAAGGAAGTTTTCACAGGACTCTATGCAGTCCATGGAAAAACGGGGTAAACTGCGACTCAGTAGCTTGTAGAAAGACCTTTAACAGCAACAACTTGAAGTAATCATTTTCCACTTGTTGTGGAGGATTTCTGGTCCACTCTGCTTTTCAACATTGCTTCAGCTCATTCGTTTATGCACAGTTCTCTTAAGGTCCCGTCACAGCATTTCAATTAGGTTGAGGTCTGGACTTCTTTTCTTTTTCAGCCATTCTGTTGAAAAGTTGCTGCCGTGCTTGGGGTCATTTTCCTGTTGCATGCCCTCAATTACTGAAGAAAAAGAACAAAAGAAAGAAGCCCTAATAATGAGCCCTCCACCACTGTGTTTAACAGATCTTATGAGGTGTTTGGGCTGAAATGTTGTGTTCTGTTTTCAACAAACATAATGCTGTGCATTATGGCCAAACATTTTGACCTGGAGGTGGAAGATCCTCTCCTGTTCCTCCTCCTCCGCTCCTGTTACGACCAACAGTTGTCCTGAATGTTTTGCACTTGTAAATAATCTTTCTCACTGTATAATGACAGACTTCAGATTGTGGCCTTATATCCATAGACCATATAACCATAAAGATGGGCAACAAAAATAGTTTTACTGAGATCATTGCTGATACTTGCTGTTCTGGAGCATTTACACTAAAAATTCTGCTTTTATAGAGGTACCCACACTTGAGCTGATGGTAAATTAACAGAGTATATTTCATTAGCATCACCTGACTGCTAATTACTCTCATAATTCCTACAGAAGCAGTAAGGGTTTACGTAGACTGCATAGAGTCCTGTGAAAAACTTAATTTTATACATGACTGTATATGTCATAGGCTCCTGTGTGGAAGATGCATGGAGCCATTGTGATGTCAGTATATGGTTTATCAAGTCCAAGCAGGCAACGTCACAAGCAAAGACTGGATTTGACTTTTGCCCAGTCTGCTTTTGTTTCTCAAAAAGAGACCCCCTTGCTGTTGGCCATCATAAAAAAGAATTAAACTCTAACACAGTTTCATATGTCTTTAGTTTCCAATCCTAGATGCTGCTGCGTTCATCTTTGACAACCCACAACATCAGGCAAATAAGTTTAAAGTAATACATTTAGATATTAATTGAGATCATGATGTACTGTATTTTCATGCCCTTATAAAAAATGTAGCTTCACTGTGCTTTCCTTAACTGGAACAGTTGCTATGGTTATCCTGACAACCATTAAGAAGTCATGCTGAGTAGCTGAAATAGACTTTAACAACCTCACAGCGAAGTGGAGGATAAAACATGCACAGCAGGTAGTTTAATAAGTAGCAGCTATTCCTCATAACCTGTGTAGGACCTTCCCAGCTTATTAATCACTCCCTCCCAGATTAATGACCTAAGGGTGCCTTGATCTTTTCAGAAAAGTCTTCTCTGTGCCAAGAATACCAAAGCAAACAGCATCGTCTTCTATAGGTTTTTAGGCCTCATGAATGGGGCTTGGCTACCTTGAGGAGGAGGAAGGGTGGGATTTAAGTAGACAGCACAGACTAAGGAAAAATAAAAAATAAAGCGAGGGATCAAGGGCCAAAGAGAATTTGAGAGATAGAAAGAAAAAAACATAAGGAAAGGCATCCCAGCCATGAAGTCAGTGTGAAAGAATGCTGAGTTCACAAGCTTTACCTCTTACACTTCAGCAATAGCTCATATTATTAATATCACTGAAAAGGGCTATTCATCTTCCCTCAGACAGCACATGGAGGAGAGATATGGGATGCAGAAGGAAGGAAAAGAGGACAGAAAGAAGCGAAGGTATGGCACTGCTTGTGACATTCTTGGACAGCCCAGATGGGGCATGTGGAGTATAAGTTCATCTTTGAAATGAGTTTTCCCTTTTTTGACAGTCTGGTGAATTTTACTTGCAACTACTGCTGTGTGTCTTTTAATACCGGCAGTTTGTAGAGAAGCAATTCTGCACGCTTCAGTGGTTCTATTTCTAATATGAAAAGACAGACACAAAAAAATCTATCCCTTTCATTTGTACGGACTTCCAGCATGTGACAATATTTATCTATGTAAAGCCAGTCATTATGATTTTTAAGTTTAAGAATGTGACTCATCCTCAGCCCTTTATACTTCTGTGAAAAAGGACTTGCTTTTGGCTGTGATGTTAACTAAGAGGAACCCAGTGAATATAAATACAAAAGTAGGGAAGAAGAGCCCTGACTGTGTGCCATTTCACTCTTCTAGACTTCTGCTGAGAAGTCATCGGTCCGTTCCACTGCCTTCAAGTGCGTAAATCCCACAAGGACTTCATCCACAGAGACAGGCCACAACAGCCTGGACCACATCCTTTGTCCTCTGAAGAAAGCAAGCAATCCAAATATTAGAGACAAGCGGGACACTTCAGGTTTTCGTCTATATTTCACGCATGGATTGATGCTTTAAAATACATTTTGCTTGGGTTGAATGAAAAATTAAACGAACGTACCCGATGTTATCTCTTTCCCCTCAGGCACTCTGTCCGACTCTGGACGCAACTCCATGTCTAGCCTTCCCACCCACAGCACCAGCGGCAGCCTAAGTGCTTCCACAGGCCCTGTCAGTCACAGCGATGGCAGCTCCGCTCCTGCAAATAGCCTCAGCGAGGGAGTACAACCCAATTTCTCTCCATGGGTCAACGGGAATAGCGCTAACCTTGACTGTAGTTACGGTGCTGATTTAAACAGCAGTGGGTTGGTATCTAAGGCTAATGAGGACGCCGGCTCCCCACTCTCTGCAGATGAGCCAAGCGCTCTCTCTGAGACTGCAGGTGGGATTCGGTCTCCCATAACTACAGATGAGTCACTGATTGAACGCTTGGAACAAAAGCTGCTGGAGAGAGAAAGTGAACTACAGGAGCTGCAGGTACAGAACTGTCACGTGAACAAAAAGTAGAGGTTAATAAAAAATAAAAACCAGCATGTGCTCTTAATCACGATGAAAATGAACACTCCTTAGTAATTAGGCCTTTCACTTTGCAACAGGTGAGTTTTGAGGAGAAGGAAACAGACACCTGCCAGCTGTTTGAGGAAAGACAAAGGTACTGTGCTGAAGAGATGGAAGGGCTGAAGCAGCGATGCTCCACAAAGCTACGCCAAGCGTCCCAAATGGCTGCAAAAACACAGCAAGCACTCCAGCTGCAAGTCAGCCAGCTCCAGGTCAGCCCTCGTCTGCCTTTATTTAAAACCACGTATTCCTGGGTCATCTTTATCCTACCAACCATATTTCATGTAACACTTGACCACTTGAATAATTGAAAGGAAAAATAAATTCTCGTGCAGGCAGAGAAGGAAAGGCTTCAGGAAGACTTCTCTAAGCTAACTCGGGAGAAGGAGCTTATTGAGCTCAGACTAAAGGCTTATGAGGCAGAGAGCACACAGCTAGCACCGACCCTCGAGGAAACTCAGTGGGAGGTAAGTCATGGGTTATATATGTGATATACTGTAAGTTAGACATGAAAGCTTGTAGCATGAAAAACAGTGTAATACAATATAGAGCTGAAGTGGGATACCAGCTATCCTTCCATCACCAGAGAAAACATTTGAATATCTTCTATGTTTTATGCTTTTTCATTATCACTTATAAGAATTGACTTGAATTGAACTGAAAGCCACTTGCACTGCATTCAGTGTAGTGCATATTGATACGTTTATATTGTGAGTAGCTGCAAACTTAACTCCTAAGAATTTGGGAGAAATGCTGATTGATTTTCTATATATATGATCTATATATACAATCAAAGAGGCTGCCAAGGGAATTATCACCAACTCTGCAGCTCCCTTCAACTCCAACTCCAAGAAGCTTTTCAGCACCTTTCACCTCATTGTTTGGTTGCTGCACTAATCTGATTTAGTCTCGCCAGACCCCTCACTAACATTTATCAGCAGCAAGAATCTGCTCTGATAAACTAAGCTTAGAGAACACAGCTCTTGAACACAAGCCTTTAACAATTTAAGATGAAGAAAAAAAATAGCTACAAGGAGTCCAGAATTTTATTAGCTTATTTATTAACTATCTATTTTACAGTTAATCTTTGGCACGTGAAAGTGTTGCTTTTCATGCGTACAATCATTCCTGGCAGAGAAATGTATTAATGTTTTTTTTCACAGTTTCTGTGCTAATTTTATAGATTTTTATAAGACTAATTGTAAAACAAAATTTACAGTTGAATCCATAATGCTGTGGGTATATGCTATCTTGAGGCGAATACACCCGCAAAAAGACACATTAAGGGGCAATTCAATATTAAAACAGCATGAGGCTAAGCAGTTGTTTACGTTTCCCTAACTGCCTACTTTACAGAGGATAATTCAGTTTCATCTTCATAATTGTCTTTTGTCTGAATGTAGGTGTGCCAAAAGACAGGAGAGATCTCACTGTTGAAGCAGCAGCTAAGAGAGTGTCAAGCGGATGTCAGCCACAAGCTGAATGAGATAGTCGGCCTCAGGGCATTGCTGAAGGAAAAAACAGCAAAAATGGAGATTCTGGAGAAACAGAACAAAAACCACGAGGACAGTCTTCACTCCCGCACCATAGACATTGAGGTTAGTCTGCTGATTGCAGTTTACACCACTGCAGAGATGAGACACGGACATGTGCATAAAATGCTCACACAATGCTCATATGACAATAGCTTGGAAGGATCCCTGCAATCATGTGCTATATTTGACTGCCGCATGTTGAGTAAAGTGTTTTCAATTTCCATGTTTTAGCACACTTAATTACAGTCCTAAAAAGTGAGCTTATTTGGCACTTTGTATAATTAGAGCCTGTTACATCCCTCACAACAGTCTTATAATTGCTGCCTAGGTTCTGACCATTTTCCGTTTTTAATTCAGGTGTGCCAAAATGAACTCCAGCGCAAAAAGAATGAGGCAGATCTTCTGAGGGAGAAAGTGGGCAAACTGGAGAAAGACATTCAAGGAATGAAACAGGATCTAGTCACTGCCAAAGAGCAAAGGCTGCAGCACAGTTTGCAAGTCAGAACCCATTCCCCGTCTCAGACAGAAAGCCAAGGTTCAGAATCCACAGACCAGGGGCGAGAGGGAGAGAACAATGAGCACACCTCCACAGAATCCCTCCAAAGAGAGGTGGACAGACTTAAGCAGCAGCTACGGGAGGAGAAGAATGCTCAAAAGAGGCTAGCCAGCAGCTTTGAACAGGAGAGGCAGACGTGGAACAAGGAGAAAGACAGAGTTATAAGGTATCAGAAACAGCTCCAGATCAACTACCTGCAGATGCACAGGAAGAACCACGACCTGGAAAGGATCCTGAAGGAGCTGACAGCAGAACTGGAGAGCCGGACAGAGCTAAGCATGGATGTCGCCTACAGCTCAGGGTTACAAACTTATGACGATGTTATTGCCACAGAGATTTGAAAACTGACTGCTTTTTTCAGCCGTAGAAAATTATCTGTCTCTGTGTCTCAGGCAACGTCCCAACTGGAGTTCATTCACTGCTAATTAGTGTGCTTAAAGAGTTATTTGACGGAATAGCTTTTGGTGATGACAGTGTTATCACTTGTTTAAAAGTAAATACTAAATTATTTAATATTCGGGGGGGGATTGTTTGTTTTTCTGTCTAACAGGATCACTTAATGTTCAGCTGACTTATTTCCTTCATGATTAATGTCTGATGGCAATGCACAATAAGCATGGTAGCTGCTTAACATCTGTCTCTCCCAGCATGACCAAATGACAAAGATATCATCTACTGTGAGTCTGGGCTTCTTCCTTTTAATTTGCTTAATTAATCCATCTCACTGTTACGCTCCCACATGTTGTATTCGTAATGGGATTGAGCATGGAATGTAGTTTAAGCATTTTTTATTAGTCATTTCAAAAACTATACACAATTATAAATCGTGGCTATTTTCTAGAGACACCGGTGTAACAAAAGAAATCCGCAAAATACATAATGAAGTCATGTTAAGCTGCCATGCATTGTGAGTCTTCTGCAGTATAATGAGAGGTCTATATACAAACAGACAACAGTGGCACTAATACATCTAGCTCTTTAAAGTTCACTTGCGCGATTAGCAAATTTACACTGATAAACTTTGCTGAAAAGAAGTCACATAGAGTCCTGTTATCATGTATACATCAGTCCACTGAACACATATGTATTTTTAAATGTAATTGTTCAAATTTGTTTACTACAACCAATTCTACAAACACAAGCAGGGATTAAAAATGTTCACTGTGCATCTCTCTGATAAAAGAAGGACTGTGTATGTGTGTCTGTTCTTCATTATTTTCAGCCGCTGCTTATCCGGTCTTCTCATTTGCTGAGGGTATTTTTGTGGGCCAAAGGAAGCAGTGATGAGGGCTCCTGCTCCTTTAGTTAAAAGCTGCTTTTTGTTAGGCCTTGGGAGTTTCCTGTTAGGAAACAGGTAAGAGACCTACAACATTACCTCATATGTGGCAGCCACATGCACGGCAAATTACTACACCTTAAAGATCCAATGGATGATCTCCAGTGGCATCTCAGCCCGCACCCCACCCATATTTTTCCAGAACTTAATGAAGTACAATATAGACCTCTAACAGACACCAAGTGTAAACGTTGGCATCTATTTTGTGCTCTGTGAGAAGGAGACAGATTGAAGGGAGCTGGATAATCTACAATAAAAGCAAATATTTTAGAAGTTTAAAAAAGGGGCGATTTTCCAGTAATGTCTATCTAAACCGTTCATCTAACTTTGCGAAAAAGTACGCTGGCGATGCTCCCACTGGAGGCAAACAATCCTTCCTAGCTACAGTCCCAGCCATTTGGCTCTAATATTCTGGAGCTATTCCACTTCCCACAAGGGCAAAGTAGTTTGTGAAGCAAAAGTTTAACTATTCCACCAAGCTCAACACTAACATAGACAGACAGTGAGGCAGAATATATGATTCTACCTGCAGGTCAGGAAAGATTTGGAGGCAGACAGACTAAGTGGAATCTAAGCTGGGTGGCTGTAACCAGTAGGCACTCAATACAAAGTACTTACTTACTTACTCTAAGCCTAGGCACAGAAACTGGTGAAACAAGGAAAGTAACAAAAGGATGGTGGACATTGCAGCTATGATAATGGTTTTAAGAAGATGCTCGAAACCCCATTTTCAAAAATAAATCAATCAGCCAAAGAGCAACTTGCATATCATGGACAAAAATCTTTACTAACTCATCCTGGGTTAGTATGAACATAGCTGATTAGCAAAGAAAATCAAACATGTTGCAAATGGTTGCCTTTTGTGCATCACAACTTGTAATTTTGACAAAATTCTTGTGCTCTATTTTGAAATCAAGATTATTCAAAATTGACTTTTGCTTCTACAAAGATATTTCAGTGTTTCCAATGCTGTGAAATTGAAATAAAAACAGAACGGCAATGTTTTCAACTGAACTAAACTAAAACGTTGGGAGAATCAGGTCTGATCATTGTTCTGAGTTGCCCTTTTTCAAATGTAGCAGACATGAAGACACGCCCTTGGTTTAGGCAAGGGTGACAGCTGGATAGAGCATGCAGGAGAAAAAGCGTACTTCCTTTGACTTTAACAGACATATACTACCTGCCTGATTCTCACGTAGAAGCATTAGGATCTTGCAGGTAAAAGACTGTTTAATCTTCAGTCTGACTGCGTTTTCTCGTGCTTTTTTGCTGTGTAATGTCTAGAGAAGTTCAGCACTCCAGTGCTTTTGTCTAAGCTGTTTCTATTTGGAAACTGAGGAGGCAAACTGATGTAGTGTTGAAAGCACAGGGTTTTTCCATTTAGGCTTTAGATCAATGAATTTCCTTGCTCAACAGTTTGGGAGCCTGGTTTATTGGCTTTTATTCCATAATGCACCAAATGTTTTTAGTGGCTGACTGTCTGGTTTGTAGACAGGCTAATTTAGCCCCTGTATTCTTTTACTATGGAGCCATGCTGTTGTAATACATGCAGAAAGGTTTAGCGCTGTCTCACAGATGTTGTCTGGCTGGCACCATGGAAGAGTTTAAACTCGCATTTCTGGATGAAGCCACAATTGTGCTCACTGATGATGGTTTCTGGAATTGCTCTTTGTCCTTGTAGTAATTTTCTATTACAGAATTGTGTCCATATTCATGTCTGAAGATCATGGCCAGTAAATAGAGGTTTTCTTCCTGTTCCCGCGCTTACAAGCATTGATCCACCATCTCTGGAACTTTTAATCTGATACATTAATAATGTAGAAGTCTCATAAGGTCACAAAAACCTGTGGGTTTTCTTGGGTTTAAAGGGTTAAATTAACTCTTTAAATATGAAGCAGAAGTCCCACTGCCCCAATATTTATTATGTAACACATCTATAGTTTAGGCTGAAAATCCATGCTTTAAATATGATTCTGGTTTTTGACAGTAATTTATGAAGTCCTGCTACGTAGCAAAGGCACTGAGGAGCCACTCAATAATCTCATGGTTGAGATGTCTGAGGAGTACTATGCTCGCTAGGTGCTTTCAGTGGCTAGCCCTGTATCTGACAGCTCTTCTTTTTCTCAGCCTGACAGCATGGAGACAGGTGGATCAGCATAGTGTACAAAAGCTTTTTCACACCCCCAGGCTGGTGTAGGGGTAAGGGACAGCCACTGCAAGGTCAGTAGGAGTTGCAGAGAGGCCCAATACTGCATTCTGGTTTGCATCACGACAGCACATTACATCAGATGTGAGCTGGATTTTTTCTTTCTTTCTTTGTTATACACACACTGGCAGCTTCTTTGGAAACCGGTTTAGTGAGACTAATTTTGCCAGAAAACAGATTAAAGAGCTTTCTCCATCTCCCAAAGAAGCAGCACCAATTCCCATTATGCCTGTTTTTAATCATTACTACAACTATCTTTTAATATGTTTCTCAACTGAATTGCATGAGGGTGGATTTGATGAGCAATTGCTAGAATTAAACTCATAAATAAATATGAGTGTCAGTTCTTCACTATCATTCTCCATTCCTGTTGGACTTAAATAATAGGAAGATTGTTTCCCTCTCCCATCTAATCAGCTAATTTCGGCCTTTTGATACCACTTCCTTCCTTTCACAACAGCTCGTTGTGTCTCAGCTTCTGTCATAAATGAGCTGATGAGACCAAATCAGAACTGAAATCAAATTAAGGCCCATTGTCAGTGCGCGTGGCTTCGTCACCAACGTGAATGGAGGACCACACTGAAGAGATAACAAGAAACTCAGAGTCGCTGGTGAAAGAAAATAACAGAGCTGGGGTGGGTGGCGGATTTCTTCCTCAAAATAACCACATACAAAACATCAACTATATTTACACAATTGCAATAAAAAAATGCAATGTTTTTCCTGTGATTTTGAAACGTAGCCATTTTAATGTGTTTTAACTGATAATTAACTGAAAAATATATTGCATGCATACATATTTATTGTGGGCTTTTAATAATTTTACAAATATCGACCTCTGTCAGCTGTATCATCTACTGAACAGGGGTTTTCAGGGAGGATCCGATCTCTTTTTATAGACTCAGCTGAACATACAGAGTTCTGGTCTAGCAGATGTCTGAGTATGACTGAACAGCAGTTAGACAGCCATCAGTAGACTGGGTGATAATTTAGCCCTACCCTGCAGTGACATGATAATAATGCACTCATATCCTGCTGTGTTTCTTCTGATCGGCTGATAGTCAAGCACAAAAGGGCCTGAATTCATTAATAACACAGAGGAGCTTTTTCAGACCTGTTCAACATGCAAAGCGAGGCTCTTTGGTTACATTTTTAAAGCAAACATGTGAATTAAAATTCACACCTGAACTACCGAGGAGGGAAAAATGTACTCCTATGACTCTGAAGCACTGCATTTCACGGTCCAAACCTGACTTTCAAAAATATAATAAATATTCCATACTGGTAAATAATAGAAGAGTCAATAACACCGTATCAGTTTCTGCCTTGGCCTCATTACACACTCACATACTCAAATGTGCTCCATCCGAACTATACCCCTAAGCAATTAGTTGCTCTAAACTATCAGGAGGCCAGTTATTCAGGCAACTATTTCATATTTTTATTGGTTTATTCAGGGCCCTGCATGCAGACCAAGCTATAACAAACACAGGCTCTGCAAATCCCCAAGCCTCGTGCAGTCAGAAAAGTAATTGGGGAGGGAGTCCCAAAGGGTCCTCACATACTGCTGAAGCCTTTGCTACCGACATGTTGAAATGGCAGCTGAGGTAGATAGGTTTATGAGTGTTTATGAGGAAGCGTTACTGTGTGTGTGTAAAGGATATATACAGTAAGTAGAAGAGGTGGCTTGAATATTTTGTGTGAACAGGCCTGGAGTCTTTAGACACTCACTCGTTGGCTGGGAAACCATCTGGTCCCCCAACCCCCCAGCAAGGTTGCCCATGGTTATAAATGTCTGTGGCAATGTCAAATTCTGTTCGTGAGGATGGGGATGGGTGGTGGGCGGGCTGTATGGATTCCAATTTAAGCCCCTGCTGCTCAAAATTACTTAATTAATTCTATCTCTCACACAGAGAGAGAAACTTCCTTTGTAAGTAATTCTACCATTCATCACCATCCGGCTCTTTTATTCCAAGGCTTTGCCTATTATCAGCTTGTGAAATAGGCAGGAACAGTCGAATGGAGGATTTAAAATAAGGCCCATTAGTGAATCCATAACATTAAATAAGCAAAAACTGTGAAAATGAATTGACACAAATGTCCTAATCATAAGGCAGGCTTAAAAATGCATTCAAATGTTTTCTCTATCAAACGTATCCCAGGAAGATTCATAGTTCCCCAGCTATGTCAAATAATGCATGTGTGTATGGTTTTGTTTTTATTATTGTTTAATTAAAAATGAAATACCACAAAGTCATGCAGTTAGGTCCATATATATTTGGCCACTGATACAAGTGTTGTTTTTTTACCCGTTTACAGAAACATATTCCAGTTATAGTTCTGTAATGGACACGGACATAATGTGGAGACTCTCCACCTTCATTTGAGGGTATCCACATTATCCACATGGAGATGTGGATAATGGCCCACAAACAAACAGCAACTGAAAGCTGCTGCAGTAAAGGACTGGCACAGTATTAAAAAGGAGGAAACCCAGCATCTGCTGATGTCCATGAGTTTAAGACTTCAAGCTGTCATTGTCAGCAAAGTATTAGAAATGAACCTTTTATTTTCAGTTATTTAATTTGACCAACGACTTTTGAGCCCCTGGAACGAAGAGATTGAGTTTGTTTTGTTTTTTTAAAAAAAAAACACTTTAGTTGCTCACATTTTTAAGCAATGAATTAAAGCTGAAAGTCTGCACTTCAACTGCATCTGAGTATTTTCATTTAAAATTCATTGTGGTAATGTACACAATCACAATCAGAATAAAGTCATCTCTGTCCAAATATTTATGGACCTGACTGTATATGTTTATGAAAAAAAAGAAATGGGCGTATTATTTTTATACATGTGATGAGCTCACAACGTTACACAACTCCCATGAAAATAAAAAGTATGCCTGATTTCACTTCAAATTTCAGTATCGATGACTTCAAGGTCATCTTTTTGTGCACTTCTGGATCTGAGCCAGCACTCAAGCAGTCAATGTGAAGTTCTATAACCAGAGGTGGGCTAGAATAGGTAAGGTGGAGTTCAACAGGAACAGGAGAAACCATGAAATAAACTTCAAAGATCAAAAACTACAGACAATCGGTGCAGCGGACACTTTTCACTGTTTTTAGAACTTTGCTCTTTTCCGCAGCTGGCTGACTGACCAACAACAACACAAGCAAGAGGGGCTTACAGACTGCCTGTACTACATACTTGACAACAGAGCTCGCCATCACCAGACTGCAAACGCGCTACCTCTGCTGAAAAATAAATTCTGCTTTATACATTCTGTATCCACGAGTCCGCTAGGGTCCGAGTGACGTAAATTTTGTCATCAGATGGTTAGAGGGTCTGTCTGGATGTTTTAATGTCTGCCTTGTTTTTTTTTATTCTTGTGACCACACAGACTTGTTAAAGAAGTATAACAGGAATAACTACTCAGCTCTTGGGTCTCCAGCTATCCAGGTTCCCAACTGAGTACATTCTAGGCTAAACCAAATGTGTAACCAAAATTAAATTCAAGTCAGGCCAAATTTAAATAAAGTATGGTTTTTGATTTTTATGGGTTCGCCGCATAACTTTATGATCACACCTCGTAAATGTTATACACACAATAATTTTAATTATGTGTGTTAATTTTTTACACTGACTCTGTGAACTGAGACAAAGTGATCATATCCCGCGGTGATGATGAAACGAAGGTGGGTGGCACTGCATCCATTTAGCTGAAAGAGAAAAATAAAGACAAGTCATGGCTTTATTAATTCTCATTAAACTTATTCATTCTACATTTACTTTACATTTCCATTTGAACCTACTGTTATAGCATTTGACTGAAGATGTCCCTCTGTACTTTCAAACTCTGCAAGGCAAAGAGTTTGTTAATCCCAGTTAAAAACACTGTGAATGGTGCTTTGACTGGATGTCCTTATTACCTTTCTCTGCAACAGGCTCAAATTGAGAAGCATTTTGTGAGGTGTTTTTTTCTATTTTCAGGTGCTTCACTGCAAAACAATTAGAAAGAAATCAGCAGAAGATATTAAAAATTGGAAAGAAACCATGAAACAACACGAGATATAGATACAAACTTTAAAGAAAATAGATATGTCTAGAAAACAATATTTAACAATAAGCATTTTAAATATGGAACAATGTTACACCTCATCCTTGAGACGTTTCTCTTCCTTTAAATGACCCAGCAGTCATTTACTGTCCAGTGTTTGACAGATTAATCAGTTTCCTTTTTCTGAGCCACTTAATTACAGTTTTATTGACATATCGTGACAGGAACTTAAGGGGGGCTTGTTGAGGCCACGTAAAGCTCAGGAAGCCCAAGAAATTTTTCAAATAAACTGCAGAAACATCATGACTGCAAATGAGCTGCTGGAAGGTCTCATGAAGGGGTGATTATGTCTGCATGGAAGAGTCATCAGAAAGAACCCTAACCCCCAACCAATACCACTGCCTGGTATTGAATATTAGCAGTGGAGAGATAAAACACATCACCTGAGTGTGCAGTACTGATTAAAACTTTGGGGGCTCCAAAGGAGCGGAAACAACAATGACAAGAATGGATTCATGCGTATATCGGCAAATTATAAATGCAAATATCCTGTAGTTGGCTGAAAAGAAAAGGTCAATTTCTACAATAACACCACTAAGAATTTGTTATCCCACACATTACTTTAAAAAGCATAACCTAAACCTTTGGGAAAGGTGCTCATAATTCCCTTGAAGAGCAGCTAATCTGCAATACTACGTGGCTACAAAAAGTGTTTTCAAGCCGTGCTACATAAAATCATTTTAATGCCTGTTTACTTCAGAGGGGTGCATACAATCCACACAAAATATAATCCCAATTTTAAACAAAGCTGGGATTGTGGAATGCTGTGTAAAATGTAAATAAAAGATGAATACACTGATTTGCAAATCTCATAAACCCTCATTTTTTCACAAAAGGACACAGATATTTAAACTGAGAAAAAAATAAGGTCATTTTGAATTTGATGGCAAAAATATATTTCAAAAAAAGTGGGGACGGAGCCAACAAAAGCTTGGAAAAGTAAGTGATACTAAAAAGAGACAGCTAGGGGAACATTTTGCAGCCAGTCAGGTTAACTGGCAACAGGTCAGTAACATGACTGGGTATAAAAAGAATATCTCTGTTTAAAAGATTCAGGAAATCTGAAGAAATCTCTGTGTGCAAGGGACAAATAAATACAGGCTAAAAATACATGGATACCCTTGATCTTTAGGCCCTCGGGCAGCACTGAAAAACAGGCATGATTATGCCATGGAAATCACTGCATGAGTTTAGGAACCTCTCCAGAAATCACTGTCTGTTACCACAATTCACTGTACCATCCATTCAACTTAGGTTAAAGCTCTATCACGCAAAGAAAATGCCATACATGAACACAATCCAGAAATGCCGCCGCCTTCTCTGGGCCAAGGCTCATTTAAAAGTATTTGGAAATTTTTTTTGGAAGACATAAAGACTGCATAGTCCCAAGACTAGAGGACAGGGATCAACTGCTTTGTTATCAGCACTCAGTTCAAAACCTCTCTGATGGTATGGTAGCGCCTATTTAACTCACATCTTGTACATCTAGAAAGGCAACATCAGTGATCAAAAGTATATAGAGGTTTTAGAGCAACACATGCTCTTGTCTAGATGACGTCTTTTTCAGGGAAGACCGTGCATGTTTCAACAAGACAATGTTAAACTGTATACTGCACTTATTACGACAGCTTGACTTTATAATAGACAAGTCTAGGTGCTGAACTGGCCTTCCTGCAGTCCTAACTTTTCAATAATTCCAAACACTTGGCTCATCATGAACTAAAAAAACCCAAAAAAAACAACAAAGACCCATGACTACTGAACAGCTAGAATGTCAGACAAGAAAAGTCCAGCAACTGGTCACTCAGTTTCCAGACATTTACAGACTGTTCTTAAAAGAAGAGGGGACACTACGCAGTGTAATCACAGCCCTGACATTTTTTTGGGACGTACCGATACGACTGAATTAAAAATGAACCATTATTTTTTCTTAAAATTCTTTAATTTTCTATGTTCTATTGTGAATAAAATATGGGTTTATAAGATTTGCAAATTATTATATTCAGTTCATCAAATTTTACACATGGACCCAACGTTTTTAGAACTGGACATGTATGTTTGACCTAAGGTGCACACAGCCTCCATACCATTGTAGCTGTCCACTGTCACAGTGCCAATGTTTGTAGGTTCAGGGAAGTGAATGATGAACTCTTGAGGAAACATCCCAGTGGACATCCAAAACGTTTTAGTGTTTCTGAGTGATAAGAAAGACAGAAAATCATGACATTTTACCATTGATGAAACCTTTTTAGATCACATTTTGATATCAACTTTTGTTGTGTAGATATACAATATTGCACAAAAAAACCTTCATATTTTGCTGCCATGTAGCCAGACTTTCTTGAAATATTAAAAATGTTAGCTAAAGCAATAGTCCTACCGCTTTTCCAGTCATTTGCACAATCATGTGACTCATTCAAGTCACTACACACGGTTTGATGCCCTGAACAACACACAAGCAAAGAAAGCCACGCCCCCCACCACCGACCAGAACATCTCTCTGCCTGCAGCCGATGTGAGGAGATCTCTCACCAAGGTCAACCCACGGAAAGCTGCTGGACCAGACAACATCCCAGGTCGCGTGCTGAGAGGCTGCGCTGATCAGCTGGCCGATGTCTTCACAGACATCTTCTACTCATCACTGAGTCAGATGATCATCCCAGCGTGCTTCAAGTCCACCACCATCATCCCGGTGCCAAAGAAATCCTCTGTAATCTGCCTGAACGACTACCGTCCCATCGCCCTGACCCCATCATTTTGAAGTGCTTCGATAGACTTGTCGTGGTGCACGTGAAGAGCAACCTCCCCTGCTCACTGGACCCGCTGCAGTTTGCATACTGGCCAAACAGGTCGACCAAGGATGCTATTTCCACTGCACTTCACCTCTCCCACCTGGGCAAGAAAGACAACTATGTCAGAATGCTGTTCATAGACTCAGATAGCTCAGCATTATCCCCCAAAAACTGTTTGACAAACTCAGCAAGTTGGGACTGAGCACCTCTCTCAGCAACTGGATACTAGATTTCCTGTCAGAGAGGCCTCAGTCCATCCGAATCGGCGACAACATCTCCAGCACAATCAGGCTGAGCACAGGAGCTCCTCAGGGCTATGTTCTCAGCCCTCTGTTGTTCACCCTCCTGACACACGACTGCACCGCCCTACACAGCTCTAACCACATCATCAAGTTCGCTGACGACACAACCGTGGTTGGACCCATCAGCAGCAACGACGAGTCAGAGTAGAGAGATGCGGTTCAGTAGCTGGCGTTCTGGTGCAGTGAAAACAACCTGTCACTAAATATGGACAAAACCAAGGATATGATCGTCGACTTCAGGAAGACTCGCTCTACTCACACACCACTCAGCATCCACGGTTCCACAGTCGAGTCTGTTAACAGCACCAATTTCCTGGGAGTTCACATCTCAGACATGGGGCGATCGTGGCTCAAGAGTTAGGAGTTCGCTTTGTAATCGGAAGGTTGCTGGTTCGAGCCCCGGCTCCGACAGTCTCGGTCGTTGTGTCCTTGGGCAAGACACTTCACCTGTTGCCTACTGGTGGTGGTCAGAGGGCCCGGTGGCGCCAGTGTCCGGCAGCCTCGCCTCTGTCAGTGCGCCCCAGGGTGGCTGTGGTTACAATGTAACTTGCCATCACCAGTGTGTGAATGTGTGTGTGAATGGGTGGATGACTGGATATGTAAAGCGCTTTGGGGTCCTTAGGGACTAGTAAGGCGCTATATAAATACAGGCCATTTACCATTTACAACCTCACCTGGACCACCAACACCACCTCCATCACCAAAAAGGCCCAGCAGCGCCTCCACTTCCTGAGACGCCTGAAGCGGGCCAACCTCCCTCTAGAGACATAATAGAGAGTGTTCTGACCAGCTGCATCCCCGTGTGGTTTGGAAACTGCAAAGTCGGTGACCTCAGCCAGCTACATCGGATCGTCAAAGCAGCTGCCAAGATCATTGGAACATCTCTCCCTCTGCTACTGGACATCTTTCACAAACGCTGCATCAGTAAGACCTCCTGCATCGTGCGTGACCCGTCACACCCCTCACATGGACTCTTTTCCCTCCTCCCATCCGGCAGACACTATCGCAGCATTGGGGCCCGATCCTCCAGACTGAGAGACAGCTTTTTCCCACAAGCTATCAGACTCCTGAACTCACTACCAGCTCCCCCCACCCAATACACCCACACAAACCACTAACTGACTCTACCGGACTCCACATACCACTGCCTTTGTAAATACAGATGCTGCTCTATGGAGAATCCTACTCTCAGGAATCATGGTCATTTTAAACCACTTCAAAGTCACCTTAAATCTCAATTGTAAATTTTAGACTGTTATTAACCCTTTTACCTCAAAGTGTATATATATTTATTCTTTTTATTCTTACTCTTTATATATTTCTTGTTGTTCTTTTGCACTGTATGGAACTGGAGCCTCGTCGTCTCGTCTCTATATACTGAACTGTATTTAGCAGAGATGACAATAAAGTTTACTTTGAATTTGAATTTGAAGGGACGAACACAACACAACAGACAGCTTAGCAAAGAAGCAATTTTAAGTTGCATCTTCAGGCGCCGTTAAGTAGCAGCTTGTAGCAAAATCACATAATTTGTTTCCTTTTGTTTAAATGAATATATGAAAATTGACAAAGATAAAATTGCTGAGATAATCACAGCTTAAAAACCAGCACTCACCCGTCGATAATGTTTTCTGGTGGGTGATTTTCATCGCTGGATGCAACGAGGACAACTTTCGCACCTAAAGAAGTTAAAGACGACTCAATCATCGCACAGAAAAGGTTATAGTCTCCGAGGCTTTCTGGTTTTTCTATAACAGAACACAACAAATGCTTTGTTTACAGATTCTTAAGGGGGGAAAGTCGTCAATTGCCGTTGCCAAGCCAACCACTGCGTCGCAAGATATAGACGTCGCAATGTTGTACGTCACAATTTCCGACGCACGCTGCTAGTTAGATGTTTAGGAGTTAGCGGCTAGCACTGGATACAGCAATTGTTCACATGGCGAACGGATGCAAGGAAGTGCTTTTTACGCGCGGAACTGGACAGGCGAGTAATAATGCAGTATTACGCGGAGGAACATGACTTATATGACGCTTCTATGCTGTCTGTACAGTTGTTTGAGGCGGTGAGCTATATAGCTAAAAGCTAAACCAACGTTGAGTTAGGCTAAGTTAAGATATGAGAAAAGTAATAAAAGAAGTCAAGCCGGAAATACACAATATACCAGATGTGCTTCAATAAACAAAACGTGGCTTTATTGGAATATACCATTGTGGATATGCGTTACAAAAATGCTTTACAAAGTAGTTTTAGGTTGCGTTGCAACAGTTCATAGGAGACAAAGGTGTACTGTACAATAAGCCTAAAATCCTTTGCATCCTGCCTCTGTTTTTGCATGCACTGCTTGTAAGATGCGTCATTATAATTGTGGATTTAAGACAGATTTAAAAATAATAATAATAATTTAGCAACATTTAATGTGTTCGTCTTTTTGTATGCTGTTTATCCTGTTTTCTACGAAAGAAATTGATTAATTATTCATCATAAATTGTTTAAAGTCTTTCTGCTCTTCAGCACACCGTCTTTTACTATTTAGTGAATTATTTTGACACATCAAATAAATATTGGCTGTAAATGTCATCTAGTTTGCAGGTATTATTTATTATTTTTAAATCACGTAATGTTTAGCCATTATTTATTTATACCCATTAAAAATACATGTTTGTATTGTAAAGACTCCAAATTTGTTGTTCTCTTCCAGAGTGATGATTCAGACATCTGGGATGACACCGCACTGATAAAGGCTTATGACAAGGCAGTTGCATCTTTCAAGGTAACTTGGGATTATTGCAGTATGTGTGAATGTTAAATGTTGTTTGCTATTTTAAAGTCTCTTCTTGATTTGCGTGTTAGACTGCCCTTAAGGGTGAAGATGAGCCACAAGTCTCAAAGAAAAACCAACCAGGAAAGAAACGCAAGAACAACAAGAAGAACCAGAGTAGGAAAAGAAACAATGCAGCACCAGAAAAAGAGGTGAGGAACTGGAACTAAAGCTACAGATACATTTGAAGGGGAAAAGGTTTAGAGTTAAATATTTACACATGGTTTACAAAGTTGTCAGAGGTATCAAACTGGAGAGTACATTTTAACATAAGTCAAGTTTAGATTCTGTGTTTCAAATCAGTGGTCGAAATGTGTCTTTCATTTACAGTTTCTACAGTTATGGTTAGAAGTTTAACTACACTTATCACAAGCATGATTGTCATCATAATTTTAAGGATTTTAATGATTTCTTTGAACTGTTCTTTTTACTTTGTGGAGTGATTGCACAGCATACATCCTAAATGGGTTTTAAAATCAAGAATGTGGTGGACAACTCATTTTTGGGAGGTGGATTTTCTCTAATCCACACAGAGTGAAAAGTATAAATGCAGGCTTAAATATATACATACGTTCACTTAAATATTTTAGTAAGTGGTGCTGAAGGTTCAACAATGACTTAGAACTTGGCAAGGCCTATTAACTTGTCATTAGTGATCATGATTGACTAAAACAAATAGTTTCTCTGCCATCATAAATAGGATTTGCATGGCAGCAGTTATTGGATTGACCGGTGCTTGTTACAATAGGAAACTCCAGGCTATTCTATGAAGGTCTAAGAAGGAGATTCGTACATTTATACGAGTTGGGATGGTTTCGGAGCTGTCCCTAAACAACTTCAGATTTTAAGATAATCAGTTTAAACAATTGTAAGCAAGTAACAGTTACTTGGACACGTGACCTCTCATCCAAGGTCTCAAAGAAGACCCAATCTGTCACATTCTCAGATTAGATGAAATGTGTTAGGATGTCCAGGAACAACCCAGGAACTGCTGAGGCTCAAGTCTGCCATGAACTGGAAACTGCTGCAACATCAGTGTCACTGTACACAGTGAAGCAAGTTTTGCATCACTGTGACGTGGAAGGGTGCCAACCAAGAAAGACGCACCTTAACCAAAAGATCTTCAAGCCTGCCTGAAATTTGTAGCAGCCCACATGGACAAGCCAAATGTCTTGTGTAGAAAAGCTTTATGATCAAACAAGACAAAGGTTGAGCTATTTGTCCACAATGACAAGAGGTCTGTTTGGAGCAGTAAAGTTTAAAAAAACTGGGAAAACTGGGTGTTCCAAAAGGACATTGATCCCAAACACACATCAAAACTGGATTTAGAATGGATAAAGCAGGCTAACATTAAGCTTTTGGAATTACCTTCCCAAAGCCCGACCGCACCCCCGTTGAAATTTGTGGACTTTGCTTAAAACCTGGGTTTGTGCAGGAAGCCAACAAATTTAAATGAACTCTAGTAGTTCTGCTGAGAAGAATGATCAAATATTTAACCAGAAATACACCAGAAGCTTGTTGATGGTTACCAAAAGCCATCTGGTGGAGATGCGACTTGCTCAGGGACATTTAACGCGTTATTCGGAGTATATGTATATTTGCCTTATGTATACTTTTGATCCCATAGAAATTTAATTTAAACTTGTGCACCTCTTCTGCACCATGTTACCATGACATTCATGCCCATGATGAGTATTTTTTTCTGACCACAACTGTATCCTGTTGGTAATTCAGAGACATTCAAAAACAGTGTTGTTTACACATGTTTACACTTTCACTTTAATTACAGTTTATGTTGTGTCACAGTGGCAGGTTGGGAATTCATGCAGTGCTTACTGGTCCGAGGATGGCCAGCTCTATGCAGCCACGATCGCCTCCATAGACAAGAAGAGAGGCACTTGTATAGTTGTTTATACAGGCTATGGCAACGAGGAGGAGCAGAATCTTGAAGACCTGCTGTCAGAGTTTTCGGAGGGTGATGAGGAATCAAATACCAAGGTAAACTAGTGCAAATAAATGCATTCACATAACAGCAGCACAATACAAATAACAATTCAGTTATTAGAAAATGGTAGTATTGTTCCCTGACACAATTTGCACATAGTTTTTACCTTCATTATTCACATATGCACATCATGAATGTTAAAATAGCAAAACTAATATTGTGACCAAATCAGGCTTAAATATTTTTTTACCATTTTATCAAATGGTGAGTCATGGAAATCACTGCCGATTAACAGATTGCTTTCTTAGTCTATTAAAACTTAGGACTAAGGATGGATAGATGGGTTAGCGCTTTCTGTTTTTGTCTGGATCATTTCTTACTGCTTCCCAAACAAATTCAGATATATTTATGGATTTCTCTGTATTTGTTCCCAGTGGTGTGAAATTGGGGAGAAAGATCAAAGCAGTATGTCTTTGCTATCCATAGGTGCATGAAGCAGAATCTTCAACGGAGGAGAGTGACAGGTCAGCTACTCCAAACCAGCACAAACAGTCACCTAATAAGGGCCACAAGTCCAATACCCACAAAGAATCACCTCCTATGTGGGCTCCTGGATTTCCTCCAGTACCACCTCCCATGCATGCTTTCAGACAGGTAAGAAGAAAGGCTCTTTAGGGAGCTGATTCATTATTAGTCTGCCAACAAAATTACTTTCATGCTTATTTTTGTTTTTAAATTGTGATTAAATCATTTTCAGGTATTAATTAAATTCCCGATAGGAGGTTGAATGTTTGTTGTATTCAGAAAGAGGAAACGTGAGCAAAGTGTTTATAATCTGAACACTAAAGATAGAATATGAACATTTATTGCAGGACTGGATTGTAATAGGCCCAATTTCTTTATGTGGACCCAACTGTAAAGAGTAGAAAAGAAATAGTGTGTTTTAAAAAATATTGTACATTATCTTAAGCCTTCTTTGAGCCTCTACATGCTGACTGTTCAGTTTAAAAGCATACGTACACTTATTATGGACATGAATTTGTGGCTTTTAGTGCTTTCCAGGAAATGTGGGGACTAATGCTTGTAAAAATGATGGATATTAAAAAGAAAAAAGTTTTAACTAATCTTTGACTTGAAATCAAAAAGCATCAGTTATAAATACAAATCATCAACAAATTTGCTTAAATGTTCCTTTTTGTTTTTTTGTTTGCACCATGATATACATATTTTACCTCTTTTCTTGTGTAACAGGGCAGCCCTTAGCGGCTGGAGTCCTCTTCCTTACACTTGACAAAAGTTAAAATCTTGAATTTATGGTCTTCTGGCACAGCTCTTACTAAGCATATTTCACTTTTTTATATGGTTGTATTCAGCTATTGAATTTTATTTCAAATGCCTTATTTTTACACTGAGCTTTGTGTTTTATCCAACTTTGAGTGTTTGATCATCGTCCTGCAAAACGACACAACTGTTTCCAGGTTTCAAACATCTATCTGATGTTTTGAGCTTATGATGAAGAATTCTGGAAAGTCCTTCTGATTCATTAACTTATATTCAGTGGTGCACATAAGTGGTGCGCAGGTGCGCATTCACTGTCAAAATAAAAAAACGCGCACCAGATAAAAAGTTGCAACGCGCGTTTGCATACATATAAAAAGGCACTGTTTTTGTCCGCTAGAGTGGGATTTTCACAGCATATTCTGCACCACATCTCTGTGCATTCATCGTTTGTTTGAAGCCAGCTCACCTCCTCACCACTTTTCCGGGAATATGTGCTGCTTTTGCGGTTCGGACTCCTTCTGACATTTCTTTGGAGGTGGAGGAACACCAAAGTAATTGCTTAAAGGAGCTTGCTTCTTCGACATCTTTAAGAGTTCTAAACAAATGTCTGTCCTCCTCCAGAAAATCCTATGTACGCAAACGCGTTGCAACTTCTTATCTGGTGCGTGTCTGTTATTTTGCCAGCGAATGCGCACCTGCGGACCACCTATGTGCACCCGTGCTTATATTAATTTAACTGGCAGTAGATCAGCCTCTCAGTATCATGCTGCCACCACCATGCGTAACAATCATGAT